CTACGGAGGAGGGGCAGGGCGCGGCGACGGCGACGGTGCTGGGGGGGATGCCCGCGGCGGAGGACGGGTTTAAGTTGCGGGCGCCGCCTGGGATGGGGGCGTTGGGGCCGTTTGGGGTGTACGCGGTCACGGCGCTGTTTGGGGCGGTGGTGTTTGCGGGGGGGTTGTTGGGGGGGTGGGGGTGGGCTGGTTGGAGGCGCCGGAGGGGGAGGTGAGGATGGATGGAAATGGGTTGGTTGAAGGGTGTTTTGTATGTTGGACATGTGTTTACTCATCAAACAATTGAAATCATGCAACTGAAGAGATGCTTTTCCCTTTTCTGGTTTAGAGCTTCCCTGGATGCCTGCTTGAGGTGACGTGGTTGTGGCATAAGTCGCTACTCGAGAGACCGAGTTGTGGAAATGGTTGATTGAATAACATCTTTACGCTGGGTATCTCTTTTCTCTATCAAAAATAAGTTAAATCATGCAGCGCATACCTGAATGCCTGCTCGAGGTCGCTGTAGCACAAGTCGCCTCTCACGAGACTGGTTAATGGAAATAGAAAACGTTGATTAAATGGTATCTTTTACGCTTATTGGGGTATCTCGTGGTTTTTTCTCTCCAAAATAAACAGAAATGATGCAATCGACCAGAACAATGAGTTGGTGATCCGTCTCTCGTCCGGTTCTCCTCGGATGCCCCCGTCCGTCCTTAACGCCATGCTGAAATCGCCGTTTTCCCATACTCGTACACACATGTTTCCCGCATGCCGCACTCGCATGCACAAATCGCCTGAATGAACAGATGCATAGACTCAGACCTGCACCATGGCAGCCTGATCTTCGAGCCGCGTCCTGTCGTTGCTGAACTCGAACCACGCGCGAAAGAGGAGGCCGTATTCCGATAACCTGCCATTCGTCAGACTTTACATCTCATCTCACCCCAAACAACCACAACAACTCACATGATCAGCCCCAGCAGAAACGCCAGCGCCGCCTCGTACCGCATGTACGGGTACGCATAGAAGGCGTTGCTCTTCTTGGACTCGATCTGGATGACCAGCAGGATCCAGCAGATGGTCGCGCCGAGCGAGAAGCACAGCTCCATGCCGAAGTGGACGTGCTTCGGGATGCCGCCGCGCTGGTGCCCGGCGCGCTTGCGGAAGATGACGGTCGTGAAGGACCAGAGCATCATCAGGACGGACTGCGGCGCGGCGGTCAGCTTTCTGCGCTTACAGCACACACGAGATGTGAGGATAGGAGAGGAGAACATACCAACGGCACAGATAACCACATGGCATAAAAGATGGGATCGCTCGGGCTCGTGTCGTCGTTGAGGTACTTGCCCCGCCGCGAGACGTAGATGTTGATGTTGAGGAAGACGACGACCAGCGGCACGACGATGGCGAGCTGGCGCAGGACGTAGTACATGTAGGTGCACCGCCGGCGCTTGCGGTTGAAGCGGTCGGACTCGGGGGACGGCGGCGCATAGCAGCCGGAGGGGTGCTGGCCGTACCAGTAGCGCTGCTGCGAGCTGTGCGTCGACGAGGCCGTGTCGGGCGGGTGGCAGGCGGCGGGGGAGGAGTGGTAGATCTGGCCGCCGGGCGGGTGGTGGTAGCCGGACTCGGAGTAGGGCGGGGCGGAGTAGCCGGGCTGGCTGTAGGCGCTGGCGTGGAGGGACATTTTTTTGTGCGTTGGGGAGGGGTGTTTTTATCTCGAAGGATTCTTTCTCTTTCGTCTCTGGTGATTATGTTCCTCCTTCTGGTTGTGCGAACTCAATGGGTCGTGTATGTCGTCTCTAAATCCATATGCTGTGGTGGTGATGATGCCGGGGGCGGCTTCGGTGATGCTGATGAACGAGATGGGGGCTTCAAGATGAATCCCACATGACGTCGGGCCTTTGCGTTGCGTTGCGATGAGTCGAAAGGGGAATGAAATGTGGCACTCGTCGACCTTTTCAATATCCGTCAATTGTGAAAAAAAAAAAAAATTGAAAAAAAAAAAAAAAAAAAAAAAAGACCAAGAAAAAAAAGCCCAGAGACGCCGAGCAAAAAAGCTCTGATCACGCCCGAACCATTTCACTCCCAAGAGAAAACCAAGAAACCGGAGCCGTCCAAAAGCAAAGGCGATGGACAGTCAGTACTACAAATAAAAACAGCAGCAGCAGGAGAACAAGAGCCAAGTCGCTGGGCGGAAATTTTTAGCAGCGACGCGGGTCTCGCTGCGGCTTCCCGCCAAGTCGCGCTATCAGGTCACTGACTCCGAAAGGGGCCACTGAGGGCCGCCTTGGCTTTTCTGGTACCTAAGGTACCTAGGGGGAGGGAGGGGAGATGGGGCGAGGAGGGTTTTACGTATTTTCATTTGGGTGGGATGTGCTTTTGCTTGGCGCTGTGCTGGGCCTCTCTGTTCAGTGCGTGTGCTACAGATGAAGGTGTGAGAGAGGCATGTAAGCCAAGACCGAGGAAAGGTTTATCATCCCTTGGGGCATCCTGTGCTGGGCTGGGCAATGAATGTACCACACTGCCAACACCAGTGGGACACCTCAGTAGTCCTCTACCTGGCACAAGACAGCCGAGCCTTAGCATGAAGCGCACAAGAGATAGGCCACTCTTGGGAGGTGTTGCAGCCAAGGCCAGACCAGGCCAGGCCGCCGACATGAGGAGGGCAGACACACGCCAGCGCAACGCCCATTGGCACTCTACCTGCTGTTGCGCAATCACGACACCCGCCGCCGAGAGGGAACGGTGAGGACGGCGACATGCGGGCAGCCTGGGCTTTTTCTTGGGGGCGTGTTACAGCTGTATCTGGGCCTGCGCGTGTACCTAAATGCGGTGCCGTTTCGGCGGCATCTGCGCCAGAGACGAGACAGCGGTGGAATTCTGGGGCGTCTTGGACAGAGGCGTTGGCATTGGCATCCGTAATGTGTGGTGTCTGGCGCTGCTCGGCATACCTCAGCTTCCAACCCGATGATGTGACGTATCGCGAACTAGGCAGTCTGCTGTTTAAACTTCTTGGGTGATGGGAAAAAGGAAATTGGCCATCTTGGTTATCGCCTGGCCAAGAGTCGGGATGCGCATTCACGGTGGTGGTGGGAGTGTGTCTTGTAGTGCAAACGGCGCCGTGGTGTCTGGGCAGCGGGTGATTGGACCTGGTGCTTCTCCCTTCAACCCGATCATGATGGGCGACCATCTGCCTCGCTGCAAGACGCCAACTGCAACCGTCCGCTGTCTACCACGATGCAGGCGGTGGGAAAGTGCCGAGACACGCCCCTGTTTGCGGCAACGTTGCGAAAGGGTGCGTTTCCCGCAGAGCGGTCGAGACTGGCTGTGCCGCGGCAGACTCATCTCGCTCCAGAACAAGATCCCGCTGTATACATAGGTAGTGCACCCTGGACGAGCCGTCGCAGTTGCAGCGCCCGTTGCTCAAAGAAGCAAGACGAGGCCGTCAACACCAACCATCAGACCTGACTCTGCGCCAAGACACAACACTGCCGTGTGTGCAGACCTTCAGGGTCCATCGCAATCATGCTCCTCAGCTGTGCTCTGCTCTCTGACGCTTCCCCCAAGACCCAAGACCCCGAGATCAGCGCAAATAATCTTGGCGCGCCAAGCGGCTGCCGGCGAGCACCACAGACGGCCGTGACTGATCGACAGGCGCCCATGGCCGGCCTATTCCCCACGACGAATTTCATCGAGATTTGGGTGACAATTTCTTCATTTTTTTCACGTCGACTTCGTGCCTGGGCGCCAGGGCGATAGAGAGTCATTGTCTGAGGTTTAACATCTGCAGAAAATCCCCTTGGGCTTTTTCGGGAGGTCTGGCATTACCAAGCGCGATTGTTCTGGGCAAAGATTGGCGCCGAGGGAAAATCTCGCTAATTTGCTCCTGGGCTTTCTTGGGGGGGTTTGCGTGTGCAGCGCACCCGTCGCGATGTGTGACAACACGTTCCCTCAGGACATCTCACGAGAAGTACTTGGGCACTAGGCGGTGACACTTTTTCGGTCCTCTGGGCTAGACTGCGCTTTCCGCCTCGCTGCCATCTGCGAGTCTCATCGGTCGCAGGCGCACGCGTTACGCCCTATGCCAAGACCATTGGCAAACAAACGCCAACGCCAGCGGACAAGACTCACAAAACAAAGAAGGGCCAAGACTTTTTCGTCTCACGTCGACGCATGACTGTTCTCTTCTTCCTCCCTTCTGCGAAAAGTCGGGCCTGGCGATGACCCGGCTCGGCCACGGTGGCGGTCTTGGCGTTGGGGTTTGGCCAAACCTTTGTGCGTGCATCTCGTTGGAATTTCCTTGGCGCTGCGAAGAGGAGACGAAAAAAAGTGACGAGCCGCTTCGGAGATTTCCGTACCTGACGGCTGGATCCCACGGCGGCCAATCTGTGTCATTTGTCGACTTTTGAGAAAAAACGGATGGAGGTGCCGGCCGCGTTGCCGTGATGCAGTTCTTGGCATCCAGTGAGCGCGATGATCGTGCTGTGTTGCACGGACTGTGAAGCTTGAAGTATTGTTATTTTGAGTTTGCGAGCGAATGCCGTTGTTCCGGCTTCGACGGCGACTTTTAGGGCGGCTAGCGCCGCAGGGTGGGCGGGTTTGCCAAGATTTGGGGATTCGGTTGACTCGCGATGGGACTACACGTGATGGGGTTGATCATTTCTTGGAAGACTTAAACGGGCTTGCGTTCGAGGATGGTAGTTGCCTTGATGGGAGAGATCTCCTTGGGGATATTGTGGCGAATGAATTTGCGATGGGGTAATTGGGCACGGCGGTTCCGAAGACGTTCTATTATTCGTGTTGCCTGGTTGAGATGAGGGCGAAGTCTTCCCTATCCGGCAGCTTTCTTTAAAAAATGCAGGTGAGCGAGTTCCTTGAATGTAGCTCTCGACGCCCATATCGCTTGCATATATAGAATTTCATCTGCTATCTTGTGAGGCTAGTCACACCCAATTTATGGGTGCTTAAGCCGCTACTTGTGTAGCGTTTGAGATTGACTGATTGATGGTGACGGCGATACGATGACCTTCGTGAATGTGCGCTCTGCAAATCAAAGATGCTATTTGATACACTTTTACAGGGACGTTTTCCGAGAACCACAGAACTTCTCATGGTTTGTCTGCTCCGGTCCAGACCTGAAATAGGACCGGCGCTGATCGCTTTGAGCTCACGTGTAGCGGTGGACCTCTAGCAAGCGGGTACGCGATAAATTAATCGCCGGTCCACATCGAATGCCGTCCGACTCACGTCCATCTCTCGGCCGATAGATCGGAGGCCCTCTCCGGCCCCCACCCGGCAGAGGTTCAAGCCGGTCAGGGAGGCATTCTGACATGGCGGATGAAGCACCTGAATGCCGCGATTCGCAGCGCGCTGCCCGCATACCTAGACGCATTCGAGCTTTGGAATGTATCGACGCAAGAATTATTGCGGATGGATTTTGGCCGAAGCTTACACCGTCCACAGACGAACCTGCGTCAAATTCCTCACAGCTTCGTGCCCGGAGACCTAAGTGGACTCCGCAACGGCACATCGGACCCAAGGATCCCCACATTTACCGGGAGCTAAGCCCGACTCGGCCGGCCGAGGCTGACATAAGCCGGCCGTTACAGCTTGCAATGAGCCGAGCCAACCAGAGCTCGCGAGGCTTGCGAAACCCCTCAGCGAGCGACGTCGTCTCAAACGCGTTTTCCTCGTCACCGCTGCAGTCACCGCGTCGAGCTTAGGTCTTATTCATCTTGTACTTATAATCAGTAAATCTGCCATTGAGGGGCGATTGTTGGGTTCAGACATTGAATCTGTGTGGTACGGCACTCAACATGGAGAAGAAGCAAGCATACGCAAGCGTGCAGCCGGCCCGGCGTCGCAACCGATCAGCCATCGGAAAGTGGCTGATAGCCGGCGGCGCCATCGCATTGCTGGGCGCTGCGAGCTGGTACCTCCACAAGCAGGATCTCAAGTCTTGGAGGCACCCCGAGCACCATCATGACTTCGCCTCAGTCGTCCATCTCAGAGGGTCTCCGTACGGCCGGTTCCCCTTGCCCGATGACCCGTTCAGGTTCATCCCTTGCACCAACACATCTCTCCCGCCTCCCCTCAACGACCCGCATCCCGAGGACACTTGGGAGGCACTCTTTGACCCTCGTCCGTCTCACTGGAGCTGGGGCAACAAGACCACATCCACCGAGGAATTCCGCAATCCCTACGCGGGCCGCGGCATCTACCTCTGCGGATACCTCGACGTGCCCCTTGACTACACCAATGACTCCGACACTCGCATCGTCCGGCTGGCCGTGACAAAGTACCAGGTCTCCGGCCTCGCCCGCATCAGAGAACCCCTCGACGCAGACAAAAACCCCGTCCCGGGCACCAAAAGCAAACGCACCATCGTAATCGAGCCCGGCGGCCCCGGCGGCAGCGGCACGTCCTATGCCTGGTCGGCCGCCGAACGCGTCTCCAAGCGCTTCAGCAACGGCACCTTCGACGTGCTCGGCTGGGACCCCCGCGGCGTCAACACCACGCACCCCTCCATATCCTGCTTCCCCTACGACGTCGACCGCGACCACTGGTCCCTTCTCACCGGCCAGTACCTCGAGGTCTCCGACCCCAAGCGCCAGCTCAACCTCGCCGACGCCATGAACAACGCCACCATGAAGGCCTGCTTCCAGAAGCACGGCGACGTCCCCCGCTTCCTCAGCACCACCTTCGTCGCCCGCGACATGGAGCAGATCCGCAAGGCCCTCGGCGAGCGCGAGCTCACCGGCTACCTCGTCAGCTACGGCACCGGCATCGGCCAGACCTACGCCAACATCTTCCCCCACAGCGTCGGCCGCATGATCCTCGACGGCACCGAGTACGTCCGCGACCACCGCCTGCTCGGCGGCTTCGGCTGGACCGCCCTCGACAACGCCACCGACGCCTGGCACGACGGCTTCCTCGGCGAGTGCCTCAACGCCGGGCCCAACCACTGCGCGCTGGCCCGCGAGACCGACGGCTACCCCGTCGCCCTCGACGACCTCGAGTCGCGCATGCTCGCGCTCGTCAACTCGCTCATCGACAGGCCCGTCATGGGCTACACCAACACCAGCGGGCCCTCGCTCGTCACCTACTCCGGCCTCGTCGGCGCCATCTACCGCTCCCTCTACAACGCGCAGGGCTGGCCCGCGCTCGCGCGCATGCTCGCCGAACTCGAGCAGGGCAACGCCACGCTCGCCGCGCGCGCCCTCGAGCGCTCCGCGTGGGAGTACGACCCGACGCTGCCGGCCACGCATCCGCACCCCGCGTCGTCTGACGAGCTCGGCACGCTCGTCATCTGCGCCGACTCGTGGGACGCGCCGCAGCCCGCCGACGGGCTCGACTGGTGGGCGTCGCTGTGGGCCAACATGACGGCCAAGTCGTGGGTCTCGGGCAACTCGCGCTTCTTCAACGTGTTTCCGTGCCGGCACTTTGGCACGTACTGGCCCGAGCCCGCGGGCGTGTACCGCGGCGACCTGAACCACACGCTGCGCCACCCGGTGCTGCTGATCGCGGAGACGTACGACCCGGCGACGCCGCTGCGCAATGGGCGGAGGTTGTTGAAGGAGATGGGGCGCAATGCGAGGTTGGTGGCGCACCGTGGCTACGGGCACTCGTCGAGGGACACGTCGAAGTGCACGGAGGCGATTGCAAGGCGGTATATCATGACGGGGGAGGTGCCGGAGGAGGCGGAGACTGCGTGCTATGCGGACGAGAAGCCGTATCTTTATGGGGTGAAGCATAAGACTGATGTGGTGGAGGGCGGGGGTGATCCGGTGGAGGTGTGGCTTAAAACTCTTGAGTGAGTGTTTGTGGTGGGAGGTAGAATGGTGGGTTTCATGTTAGATATGTTCCAGCTCTCTGACTGAGATGAAAATAGTACTAGTTGATGTAAATTTGACCATGTTTAAGGTGAAAGTTAAACTGACTACTTCGATGCTGATCTTTATGAAGTCGATTCATTTAAAATGTCTTTCGCAAAAGGACGTCGGGCTTGAAAAACCCAGAATTGACTAAATTCCTTTACGAAGCCAGTGTTGTAGAAATGCTACAGAAGCAATAACGCCACGTAGGTCAGAAAGCTTCTCACACAAATTGTAGTCTGAGTCACACAAGCTGTGAGCTTGTCTACATGATTGTGAGCCTTCAACTTCGTACTGTTGAGTCGGGTTTACAGTCTCAGATTCGGCTCCAAGGCTCGGTTGATACTCACCTGGACTTTGCACGCTATCACAAATACAAGCTTCTGTGAACGAGCCGTCAAGCCTACTTACGTTCACTCATAATGGTCATGCGGAGACGCGATGTGACCTGCTGTCTATGGCGGTTGATGAAGCTGGCTGGTTAGAGCTATGTCGAATACGAAGATTTTCCGTGATTTTGTTGTTCTTTTCACCTCGTGGAAGTCATCGGTTCCCGCCGGCTACGTTTCAATCTTCAAAGTATGAAATGAAGAATGTATGAGACTATGACCGATGCAGGATTTAACCGCAAAGTTCGTAGACGCCTAAGCTTGCGATGGATTGATTGCCTTCCCAATTTATTGAGACCGGTGCGATCTCGTGGGCTAGCTCTGTGACTTTTCACCACCGCGAAATTTTAATTGATTAGCATGGCTTCAATGATAATCGATCTCAAAAAAGGCCTTAGTTCAATTTGACGCTATTTTCCTGCAGGAATTGCAAGACATGAGTATTAACTTTTCGCCAGTCAGATAAGTCCCTCCAATGATTGACCTAGTCCTTCGGTGGACGCGTCGTTGGACATCTTGCGGCTCATACATCCAACACACCTGCAACTCACACCATTTGCCCACAACAACTTTAATCTGACAACACTTCATTGCTTAGCCAATGCCCAGCCAAGCCAGCTCGGAGCCCACGGAGCCCCGAGCCAGTCCTCCCGCCGGATACCATCTCCACTTTTCACCCGTCTTTAGTGAGGATGAGAAAAGCGGCCCGCTTGGCAGGGAATCTCGCGTCTCGGCTTTCGGACTCGATGATGGAATACGCCTTCATCACTGGCGAGCGCTACTTTGATTTTTCGGGTCACGTGCGGCTCCGCCAAGGCACGGAGGGAAACGGAGAATATGCCAACTTGTGAACTCCGTCCCTAGGCTAAGGACCCATGTCAGCAGAGCCAAAATTTCATGCTAGTTGTTTTTCTTCGTTGATAACATCATTTTGCCTACCGAGAAATTACCAATTAGTTGCGGCACGCATACAATCTCTCACCATGGCTTCGATCTTCAACCGGGCGAGATTATTAGCATTCTCCAAGTTCGCCGCAGCCACAGCCGTTGCAGTCCCAACGAGTTTCTGCCTGTGGACCCGCCAGTGCTCACTCGATGAATCGTTCTCGCCGGCGACGGACAGCCTCTTCCAGCACCCGTTCCTCAAGAAGGTGAATCCGGAAAACAGCGGCGGGTTCCACGACTGCTTCGTCCGCGAGGTGGCTTTTGAGAATGTTCGTCCTGGGTTGCTGGAGGACGCGTTGGGCGGGGGGTCGAAGCTGGTGGAGACGTACGCGGCGGGTGTCTGGGGGCGGTACGGTGAGTTAGAGAATGACGGAAATTGACAAGATGTAATGCTAAGTTGATGTAGCTTTTACTGTACAGCGGAAACTCATGGAGAGGGCGAGGAAGAATGAGTCCAACGCGGGTGACATTTGGGAGAAGGAGGAATTGCTAAAGAGCACTTACCCAATCGGTACGTCTTATTCTTCAGCTTCATATACCAGACCTGCTGACCATGACAGGTACGATACTGGCGGACGACTTCATCGTCATCGACAAGTCGTCCAACACCCTCATGTTCCGTGGCGGTGTGTCGCCCAGGGAGGAGGGTCCACGTGAGATGGACACGTTCATCACGCTCGTCACGGAGCTTGATCCTCAAAAGCGGGCCGTCAGGTTCAAGATCAAGTCGGTGATGATTGACCGAGTCAGCAATGGCAAGGGAGCCCTGATGGGGGTTGTCGTCGCTTTGCATCAGCAGTATGCGAAGCTGTTGTTGACGGCGGGCGTGGACCACTGTGTTGCGTGATACCCGGGGATGATGTTGGACCATCTCCTCTCTTCAGATTAGGTGCTAGATATTGTACTATTAGTGTAGAGATCTAAATTAGATCTAGAACAATGTCATTCATCGCTGTAGAATTTCCACGTGCCAGCGTTACAAAGCTTATGGCGGCGGAAACGAGCCTCACTGGACATCGGCAATGAACTTCGGCACCACAAACTCCGCGGGACCACCCGTAAACGCCTCCGTACCCAGCTGAAACACTACAAACCGTCAGCTCTCCCCTTAAACTCACTCAAAGTGCACTACTTACCGAGCATGTACTGGTTATGAGCCGGGAATCGATGCTCCGCCACCAGATAATCAAAGAACCGCTTCACATCCGCGCGAAAGCTCTGAATCGGCCCGTCCACCGGCAAAAAGCTAAACACCTTCATCTTCCTACCATGGTTATACCCAAAGTGCACCTCCCACCGATGGCCCTCAATCTTCACCTGCGCAATCGGCGCCTTGGACTCGCTGATGGGCCACACG